GAAATGGTAGGAGACCCTCAATGTTACACAAAATTACATATAAGAGGTTGTGAGGGGAAAGGGGGGGGGGACAAGGGAGAGAACTGAACAACAGCAGATGAGGTAGAGAGGGAAGATGGGAGGGGAGGGGAGGGGGGATAGTAGGGGATAGGAAAGGTAGCAGAATACAACAGTCACTAATATGCCATTATGGAAAAATGTGAATGTGTAACCGATGTGATTCTGCAATTTGTATTTGGGGTAAAAATGGGAGTTCATAACCCACTTGAGTCAAATGTATGAAAGATGATATGTCATGAGCTTTGTAATGTTTTGAACAACCAATAAAAATAAATAAATAAATAAAGTCTCCTTCTATTGTACGATGTTATTTCTTCAGTTTTGTCAATGTTTATGTCATATAGTTAGGAACTCTGATATTTGGTGCATATATAATTATTATAACTTCCTGGTGAATTGACCTTTTATCATTCAGTGATGCTAATGAGTCTGTCTTTGGTTCTTGTAGCAGTTTTTGACTTAAAATCTATTTTGCCTGATATGAGTGTAGCCATTTCTGCTCTCTTAGGCTAAAATTCTATGCAAATGGTAACCAGTGTGTGTCCTTACATCTAAAGTGAGTCTCCTATAAATAGCATATAGGTGAATCTTTAAAAAACAAATCTATTCAGCCAATATAAGTCTTTTGATTGGGGAGTTCAGTCTATTTCCATTTGACACAATTCCTGAATAGAAAGGACTTACTATTGCTGTTTTAGTAATTATTTTCTGTGTCTCATAGCCTTTTGTCCCTCATTTCCTCTTTTACTGCCTTTATGTTGCATTGATTTATTTATTTTTTACTTATGTGTATGTGTCACATGCTTTGATTCCTTTTTCATTTCCTTGTGTATATTTTGAGATATTTTCCTTGTGATTATCATGGGGAATTATACAAAAAATTTTAATGTGTTACAACAATCTATTTTCAACTGGTAACAACTTGAACCACATAAAAACTCCTTTATAGCTCTGCATGTACCTCAGTTTACATATTATATCTATATATATTGTATGCCCATTAATATAGATTTATTTCTATGCTTTTGCTATTTAAATTCTATGCAAGATTAAAAGTGAATGTAATTGCAAAAACTACAATATGTAGTTTCTATCTTTGTCTACATATTTACTTTTACTGGAGAATGTTATATTTTCATTGGCCTTGCATTGCTATGTAGTGTCCCTTTTCTTTAACATGTAAGATTCCTTTTGGCATTTCTCATAGGGTTGGTCTAATGGTAATGAACTCCCTCAGCATGGAGACAAAGTCCTAACTTTTCCTTCATTTTTGAAGAACTGTTTTTGCCTGATATTGTATTCTTGGTTTTTTAATTTCAGCACCTTGAATATATCATTGCTCTGTATTCTGTTCTGCTGAGAACTCTAAAATCTTATAGTGCTCCCTGGTAAATGATGAGTTGCTTTTTGATTTTTTTTTTTTTAAACGTACAATAGTTTGTGGTTATGTCTTAGTATTCTGGCTTTATCTTACTGGTAGTTCATTGAGCTTCTTGAATTAATATGCTTGTTTCTTTCCTCAAATTTATATTGTTTGGAACATTTAGAGAATGGGCATTATTTCTTTAAATAAGCTTTCTGCCCCTCTCTCTTCCATAATGTGTGTATTGGCTTGATGGTGGTTCCATAAGTCTCTTAGACTTTCTTCACTTTTCTTCATTATTCTTTTTGTTTCTCTGTCTTGGTTTGTTCTTTCTGTCTGATAAAATCGACTGCTGAACCCTTCTTGTGATTTTTAAAAATTTAAGTTATTGAATTTTTCAATTCCAGAATTTGCTTTTTCTTTTTTTCGCAGTTTATTAGTATTCTCATTGTGTTCATTGTTCTCCTGACTTTATTTAATTGTCTCTGTTCTTTCAGGTCATTGATCATCTCTTAAGACAGTTGTTTAAAATTCCTTGTCAGACAATTCAGAGACCTACATTTCTTTAGGGTTCATTTCTGGAGATTGTTTCTTTGATTGAACCATGTTTCCCTGTACTTTTGTATGCTTTGTGATATTGTAATTGGAGCATTTGATAAAACAGCCACTTTTCCCAGTTTTTACAGACTGGCTTTGTGCAGGGGAAGACAACCTGCCTGGAAATTCTGGAACCTCTCAAACTTTTCTTGGGGCTCTATATCTTCTCTGCCCTTGTGTGTGTGCTTTCATTCCAGTACATACGACTGATTTCCACTTGTCTGAATTTCCCTAATAGGAGATCCTCTGTTTCTCAGGAGCTATTATCAATTCCTATTAAATTCCTCTGTCCTCTTTTGCTCTCCAGAGCTTGCCTGTAGATCTGCACACTTCTTGCTAGTATAGTGCACTGCTGCACTCCTTTCAGTGGCCTCCAGTCAGCATTCAAACCATGCCATCAACTTCTATCTATGCTCTGGATCAGATGAAACAGAAAGCAGTCTCTCAGATAAACCAGAGCGTTGGGCAGAAATTTATTTTCTTTTTGTCCTGAAGGACTTGCTGGGAATTGGGAGGTTTGTTGGTAATCATATCATGCTGTGCTGGGACAGGGAAAGGTGAGAAAAATGGTATGAGGTTTCATACCCTTTGCAGTGTAGCCTCCTCCTGGGTTTGCATTTGCTAGAATGCTGCATTTTCTCAACTGGTGTCTAGAATTTTCACAAAAATATTTTGATCAATATATTGTTAATTCAATGCTTCTGTGGAAGAATGAAGAAAGACAGGGAGATCCCTAGTCTACCATCTTGCTGATATCACTCTCCATCTACCCTAACTTTTGTTATCCATTGATATTTAATGCTTTACAGAATAGTATCTTGATAGAAAACATTCTTACCCAGCAAATTTTATCTACTTATTTATACATGGTCTGTATCAAAACTATGAATAGATAAGCTGTTAGACAAATTGACCTTTAATTTTTAAAGTACTACCACCTTGTATATGAAGTTAAATAGTTGTGAATGCAGAAATGTTTGGAATTTAGTTTCCATTCTTAAAGTATGATATACTTAACTGAATTTTGCTTAATAACAAGAGTTCCTCAAATTCTGCCAAAAACTGATTTTAAAACTTAAATCCTGGGGCCAGGTGTGGTGGTGCACACCTGCAACCACAGCAAGTTGGGAGGCTGAGGCAGGAGGATCAGTCTCAGCAATTTAGCAAGGCCCTAAGCAACCTGGTGAAACCCTGTCTCAAAAAATAAAAAAGGCTGGGGATGTAGCTCAGTGGTTAAGAACCTCTGGGTTCAATCCCTGGTTAAAAAAAAATTGAATCCTAGGAACCTCAATCAGAAGTCTTTTCATGATAATTTTAGAAAAAAGATTTTTTTTTCCCTTCTGGTGGAAGAAGTTTTCTTGTATCCCTTGTATGTTTTACTTTCCCCAATTATTTTGGAAACTATTTCAGAAATTACATATTAACATTAGAAATTGTGTGTTTATAGTTTCGAGAGAACATTTGTAATAACAAGAAGCAACTGTTAAATAGGAAACATTGAAACATCAACTTTGTATCACATGTACTTTTATTACTTTAGGTATAAATATATTTTTACTTATTAAAATTTTAATTTCAATTTCTTATTTCTAAGCAATTATAAACTTCATTATGCTCAGTTAATGTATTCTAGTTGATCTTTGTGATAACTCTGTTAATTAGAATATACTAGAAATTTTATATTTTTAAGACAGGATGTGAATAACAAGTAAAAGTGGATGAATGAAATTTGAACTATATTTAGTGCAACCCTACTTGTTGGGCTACCTAATATGGCTATGGTGTGATAAAACAGCAGCAGGGAAGGGTAAAGTTATGGTGCAAATTTAGAACCATGTATATATAATATATGGTTAGCTAACTAGAAACAGACTTATACATTTCTCTAAATATAAAATATTTTCCTATGGTGATAGTCTTGTCTTCTCACAAGGGAATGTCTATTGAGTGTGTCCCCTGAAAGTTTGTAATCTTATTCCTCAACACAGCCGTGTTGGAGGGGGCTTAGTGGGAGGATTTTGGTTCGCTGGGGTGGAGCCCTATGAACAGATTAATGCTTTCTTTTTTTTAATATTTATTTTTTGTAGTTGTAGTTGGACACAATAACTTTTATTATTATTATTTTTTTATATGTGGTGCTGAGGATTGAACCCAGGGCCTTGCACTAGCGAGGTAAGTGCTCACCGCTGAGCCACAACTCCAGCCCCCAGATTAATGCTTTCTATGCAGGAATTTTTTAGCTAACACAGAAGTTTAGTCCCCTTTTCTCTATCACAGGTGCCTGCTTCCTCTTGTTTTTCTCTAATGAGATAAAGCAGCATATGACCCTAACTAGATATAGCCACCCCTCTGGTTTTTCCAGCCTCTAGAACCATGAGGCAAAATAACACTTTTCCTTCATAAATTACCCAGTGTCAGCTGGGCCTGAAGGTGCACACTCATAATACCAGCAACTTGGGAGGCTGAGACAGGAGGATCACAAGTTGAAGGTCAGTCTCAGCAACTTTGAGACTTTGTCTCAAAATAAAAAAGGCTGGGGATATAGCTCAGTGGTAAAGCATCCTTGGGTTGAATCCCTAAAAAATAAAAATTAAAAAACCCCACCCAATCGAGTATTCTGCTATAGTAACAGCAAACAGAGGATAAGTATGCCTCTATTCAAAAATTTTCCCCATCCGCTACTTCCACCTGACCCTGTACATTTGTAGACCCTAGATGGTGCTTAATAAATGTTTTGATGAACAACAGGCATGGTATCATATCATATCATTTTCAAGATAAAAATAGCCATATATAAGCCCTGACAGAAGGTCCACTCCTCTTTGTATCTTCAAAATGACTTCAAGACTTTTGTTATTTAAAGCAGTCTCTCGTCTGATTATAACATTAAGTATGAATGTACTTGATTTATGACAGTAAATAGAAACAATTGTTACTAATTGTGAAATTATAATTTAAGAGATTGAAATAGCAAATTAGATTGGAGAAAATTATTCTTTATTGAAAAATACCAATAATACTGACAGACTTCAAAAGCAATTCACGCTTCCAGAATACAAAGTACTTAATACATTTTTTTTCAAACCTGTTTGTATTTCAAACAAAGTTAACATTTTTGTAAATCAAATTTGATAATCTGACTAAAAAATATTTTCCAGCTTTATTATTAAAGGAGCTGCACATCTTTATAGTAGGGCCATCAGGTGGGCAGGAGCACAGCGATAGAATGCACCTGGGACTTCACAGCCTTCTACAGCGATATTTCCCACAACTTTGCTGCTGGAAACAAAAATACTGCACGAGACAGCTGCCCTCCAGGGTCAGAGGGTCTCAAGACAGCGTGTCAAAAGACAGCCAGGTTTTCTTAAAATTCACAGACTTTCATTTAAGATTGCTTTTTAAGAAAAATTTTAAAGAATGCCATAGTGACTTAACATCATCCAATGACTGAATTAAAAAAACTATAATGAACGAAATGAACTGTTACCATCAAAACGGTCTTTGCTGAGCTGTAATAATTCTAGGCTTTTTAGATGCAAAAAAATTAACATATATGCAAGTTTAATTTGAAACCACACAAATTATGTATGTAGGCTCAGATAGTAGCAGTGTTCACTTTAACCACTAATAGCTTAACTGGAACAGCCACCTATTTATTCCACCAGCTGGGATAGCAGCACCAAAGTCTTCTAAAATTCTTTATGTATAAATCTTAAGTTATTATCCAAGTTCCATTCTTTGCATGCTCCAATTCTCATTATTTAACATAAAAGCAACAGGATTTGGAGAGTTACTTTTTGCTGTATTAAAACAGTTATACAGCGTCTTGTACTGTCAAAAAGCAAAATACTGTGAACAGCAGCCTTCTTCACAGCTCTAACCCTGAAGCTGCCAAGCATTCACTGCTTGTGTCAGCAGTGGTATTTCCACAGTAAAATAGCAGAAACTAAAAAATTATGGCACAATGGATTTCTGAATTCTTTTATCTACCATTGGTCCTGGGGCTTGGTACCTTCCCCTTGTAGACTATATATCTGCTGATTATTCCAGAATCATCTTTAATGGAGCAAAGGCATCAGGTCATATAGCGGGTAATTGCTCTCAGAGCGTACAGGAGTTCTGCTTGCATCCTAGCTTCTATAAGAAGCAGATTAACATGAACCTGAATACAAAATACAACATCATATAAGAGAGGGTTATAAACATTCAGGTTTTCAGTGACTAATAATCAAATACCAAAAATAAGTACAGTTGTCCCTTGGTACCCATGAGGTATTGGTTTCAGGACTTCCCTTGGATACCAAAATCCTTAGATACTCAAGTTTCTCATATGAAATGGCACAGTATTTGCATATAACCTCCCATATACTGCAAATCATCTCTATATTGCTTATAATAAAATGTAAATGCTATGTAAATAGTTTACACTGTATCATCTAGGAAATAAGAAAAATATGTACATATTCAATACAATGCAAGGTTTTGTTTTTTTTTAAATATTTGCACAATTACCTGAATCCACAGATGTGGAACCTACAGATGTGCTGGGCTAACTGTACATTTTCTATATAACTTTGAAGCCTTGTTTATTGAACAGAATATCAATTTCTCAAAACAAAAGCTATCTGATATTCTTTTTAGATAGATGTTTTGAGCTTTCATCTATATTTGATCATACCTCTTCTTGAATGTTGTAGTTCAAAAACTCTAGATACTGCTCTATCAGAATACCACTATTCCCTGCCACATCATTAATTTCTATAAAGATGTTTCCAAAAAACCCAGACATTTCTACCTATACACAATTAAAAAGAGCTCATGCAAAATAGTCTTCTTTCTCCTAAGTTGTGACAGCTATTCCATTGCTTCTGAGAATGGGCAGCCTACCTGTCGTCTTGTCTGTATTTTATCTCTCACCATCATGGGTTTCCCTTGCAAGGGGAACCTGAGACAGCTGTCCTAGAATGCTGTTCTTTGAGTTGGTAGAACCAAGGGAGAGGGTTTGAGAGCTATTAGGTTATGTGAAAGAGTGTAAGAATACTGATAAGTTACAGAGTAATAAGCCACAACAGGCACATACCTTCTCAGAGTGCTTGAACTGCCTCCAGAAGCTATCATACATTCTTTTGGTAACCTTTTCAGGAGTGCAAACAACAGTTTTGATATAAACTTTAAAGCTACGATCCAACAGCTGGTTAATTTCACCATAGTCATAGTCATCATATCTGTTAAAAAAGAGTTAACAATATTTTCAACATATAGTCTATTTTCTTTTTACAGAAAATAAATGCTATATTCTTTATTTTGTGTGGTACAAGGATGCTTTACTACTGAGCTACATACAGAGCCCTTTAGTTTAATTCCATTTATTTTTTTTGAGATAGAGTCTCACTAAGTTGCCAAGTCTGATCTCAAACTTGCAATTTCCTGCCTCAGCCCCTGAAGTAGCTGAGATTACAGGGTGAGCCAGCATGCCCAGCTACATGGTATATTATTTTCCCTTCTTTCTTCAGGCAGCAGTTCCCTTAAATGAGATAGCTTTACAATGTTTACTTGGGGGTCAATTGGTGAGTATGAAGGTAAAAAGTGAAAAACTTATTGCCCAAACAAATCATTCCTAAAATTTAAGAATATTAACACTGTAGCACTGGGTCCAAAGAAAAGGGTATATTTACAATCATGAACAAGTAATTACACTACGGGTAACCAATTCTGAGAACACAGCTTAGAAAAACTGCTGAAATTTTAAAAATTAATCAATTAGGCCATGTTGGCACAATTATATTTTATAAAAACTGCAGTTTCTGGGGTTAGATGAGAAAAAAGGCAGTGAGGGTGGGTGGAGCAGGAAGAGTGGTCTATATATGGTCTCACAGTGTCTACATTTAGGAGAGGCTGGCTTACTTTAAGGCAAGATGGTTGCATGCACTACTGTCTGCTTTTCCCTATTTGGAGTCCAGATCACAAAAGTACTGAACTTGCCTATTGGGTTTTCAGTGGAAAAGGGAGAAAGTTCTTGGCAAAGCCTGTCCTACAGCCATTCAGGAAACCAAAGTCAAATCTGGCCACTGATTAGTGGAAGTTAGTTTAAAACTCATCATATGTGTCTTAAATGCCCAAGTAGTTTAAAATAAAGTAAAAGGTTTTTGACCAGAATCACTGATAAAATGAATAGCAACAGAATGCTGTTTTTTTTTTTTTTTTTTTTTTTTTTGCTAAAATAACCAGAAAGCAATGCAGCAAGGAGTGTGTGAGTGAGGGAAGGTAGTAAATAATGGCTGCATTTTGTACACACCACAATGTGCTAAAAACCTAACAATGAGGACGTGAATTTTCCATTGTGATGAAGTTTTACAGGAACAGGTACTCTTCAGAAGGCACTTGAGAACAGCTGGAGGGGCAATACAAAGGTACTGAGTTGCCAGAAGGTAACAATATGAGTGTGGCAGAAGATAAAAGATGACACAGAAAGACAAAGATGCTCAGTGACAAACTGCCTCTTTTCATCTATGTTCAACTTGTTTGCCTTCCCCTTTCTTGGAGGCAGCAGTCATTTAATTCTTGTCAATATCTCTGAACTCTCCCCCTTGCCTCACTAGAAGAGAGGGGAAAAACTAAGCTGCAATAATGGGGTTCCCTGAAGCACAGATTACCGGACGAGGGGATGATCTTGAGTATATGTGCCTGTGTGTGCTCTAAGAACCTGAATAATTTAGCCTAGAGGGAAATACCTCTTTATAAACACAAGAAAACAGACTAACCGTATTCCAAACATGCAGTGAATATAGTTCCAAATAGCCCGTCTAAGCATTGAGGTATCAACGTCTTTGTGCATTGCCATTGTATTATAAGTAAGATTGTAAGCAATGTGAAATTTTTCATCGATCAACTGTCCCACATCTGGATAAAGGCGATTTACCAATGAATAACCATGGTCTTCCCAGCAATAGTCCTAAACATAGGGAATAGAATTAACATGAATAATTAAAATGTGGCCAAATACAGCTCTGTGAGATCACTGGTAGCTGGAATCTACTACCTTCATCCCTCACTCTGAGCTTCACTTGTACTCCAGTCCAAGGATTTCAATTCCATACTATAACACGCAAGAGGTTATGTTTTCTAACTTAGCAAGGTAAGAACTGAGGGAGACTTGTCCCCTTACACACAGGCACTGATTTCCAGTTTTCTCTTTCTGACTTTTCACTGAGCCCCAGACACAGCCCAGCTTGAGAGTTCTCTTTCATTTCTTATCACTACAGCCATCCAAATGGTTTTCAAAGTTTAGGAATTTCTTTCTTTCTTTTGTAACACTGGGGATTAAACCTAGCTAGGCAAGTGCTCTATCACTGAGCTACATCCCCAGCCCTTTTTGAGACAGGATCTAAGTTGTCCAGGCTGGCCTCAAATTTGTGATCCTTCTGCCTCAATCTCTTGGTAGCTGGGATTACAGACATGTGCTACCATGCCTGGCTAATTTTGTGAACTTCTAATTTAATATGTCCATCACTGATTCCTTCTCTACCTTCAGTCTTTTAGCTTTTTTAACTGAGTCTCTTAGTTTTCCTACATAAAATCTCCTTGCCTTTATTTCTACCTCAAACAAAACTTAGTAAGCCCCTACTATTCTATGTTGACATTATGCCATCACTTTGGTCAAAATCTACAACCCCCATTTAATCTACTATAAACTGTTCTGGCATTTAAGGCATACCTGATTAATTTTAACATCACTAATATAGAAGTTTGAATTATTGCTGAAGCTCACAGTAGTTCAGTCTCCTTATGATTCCTTTCCTTACTCTATATACCGAAATCTAAGCTCAGTTCTTTCCTATTCTTCTCTGATTACAATGCTTTTTTATTTTTATTTTTTGGTGCTGGGGACTGAATCCAGGGCATTGTGCATACTAAGAGAGAACTCTACCACTAAGTGCTGCCCTTGTTTTTTGGCCACACAAATCCTTCAAATGCTCATTTCCCTTCACAAAAATTTTCAGCCTGAAATTATTTCTTCAATTTCTAACCTATTATATTTCATGACACAGTTTAACTATCAAGTACAAATTCTTTAACTCTTCTTTGTGCCTAAGTTTTGTCCCTTTCCCTTTAACCAAATATGAAAAAATAATAGTTCTTTCATAATTCTGGCAAAATATCTATTATTTAACACTGGCCCCTAATGATAATTGGGAAAGTTGTATCAACTCATATGAATTAAATATTTACCTATGTAAACTAAATATTTAAGCAATACTATACGATATACACTTAAACTACATATGACTCTACTGATGAATTAGAAATAGTCTTATACAATTAGAGTACAGAATAAGTATTTGCTAATTGATGATTCTCAACTTTTATTCTGGAACTTGAGGATATAGCTTCTGTTGTTCGTGAGATACTGCTTGCATGGCACTTAGCATACTTCTCAAATCTAGGTTGCTTTTTCTTTTAAGTCATGCTAAAATATTTCTAACCACTCACATGCATACAAGCTATAATTTTACCTGGACACGAAATGTTGGGACATGCATCCCATGTCTAGAGAAATCCTTATAGCCATAACTAGTATCCTCAAAGTGACGAGAGACATCTCTTGCTGGTGTAACTTCTTCATCATCTGAAACGATTTTTAAAGTCATGGAAAGCTTTTCAGAAACAGGATACTTGAAATTCATTTTTCCCATAACAAAAGTGAAAATAAGAAAACCAGTTCTATGTCACTGAGTAACCCATATCAACCAAAATGAAATCTTAATAAAAAGAAGTACCTTACTTACCAGTAAACTGAATATAGTAAAAGAAGATACTCCATTATAAAGTAAATATTCATAGTTGAATTCTACATGCCTTTTATTCTGTAATAGACCCCACTTTCCCTGTGTCCCCATCCCAATTTATAGACTTTAGGTTCTCCTTAATATGTGTTCAGACTTGGGAGGCTGAGACAGGAAGATCATAAGTTCAAAGCTAGCCTCAGCAACTAGGCCAGGCCCTTAGCAACTTGACCCTATCTCAAAAAGGGCTAGGGTGCAGTGTTTCAGCACCCCTTGATTCAATCCCTGGTATCCACCCCTCCCCCAAATGTGTTCAAGGTAGAATGCTGTTTTGGATAATCTTTAAGGTGATAATAACGACTATGAAGATAAGCTATGCTCTAAAATATAGTACTTGACTATTTTTTATTAAACATTAACACTATACAGTATGATGAAAATGATGAAACTAAAGGTCCTGTAAGTTGACATTTTTATAATGCTTCCCGCACTGCCCCTAAGTTCTTTTATGATCATCATGTTAAGGAGTTGATGAGATTAGTTTTAACAAAACAGTATTTTATGATGACCACAACTCTACACCTTTAGGCATAAATAGAAACAAAAATATCCCCTCAAGGAAAAACAAGCCAGTACCCAACCTCCCTTTATACAAAGACACACTCTTTCCCCCCACTCTTTGATTGTCAAATATATTTGAGACAGTTTTTGGACATATTCTTTTTCAGATGATCTAAGTTAGAAATACTGCTGTTTTTCACTTATAAATTTTTTTTAAGTTGCCTGCTTTAAAAATTCTAAGTAGGACTACATATGCAATATCCTCTCCAAAATGACAAAAATATATTTGGATTGATGTTTTAAAACTAACCTAAATTCTTTAAATAAAAAAGGTGGGTTTGCAATATTGTGTAGTAGTTGCTCTTACCTGAGGAGAAGACACACATGCTCTCTCTCTTCTCTATTTCAAATCGTGAAGCCATCTCTTCCTGACTGGCCTCTTCTTCGTCTCTACATTCCTGTAACTGCTTCATCTTTTCCATGAGGGCTTCAACCTCAAAGAAGGATTCACTTACCTGAAAAGAGAACACGATATTGTATACATCAGACACAGAATGAAATTCATGTATTTTATTAAGTCTGTTTCAAAAGACCATCAAAATATAGGAAAATACATTCTTAAAATAATATCCCTACTATTTATACTCCTGTAAAAATGAAAATTTAACACTACTTGTCAATTTAAAACAATGAATATTTTATAGTTAACTTCTACTTGCTAAGTCAGTTAAATGTTAAAGTGGTTTCCTATCAACTGTATACTGCATATATTGTCAACATGTCTATCATCTTTAAAATAATAACTGTTCTATGTATACAATGTATCTATTAAAATGAAACATGTCCTCCCATGGCTGGAGTTGGATGGGTCCTAACCATAAGGGGTAGCCAAGATTTATATTTCTAAACCCTACTATATCTTTACTATAAAAGCTAGATCAAATCTACAGAATATATATTTTACAGAATGGATATAAAAGAAGTTTTAAAATCTCAAATCTCAATTTTCAAATACAAATTAATCTTTCCCCCTTTATGATTTCATTTCTTTTGCCAGGAATGTTCTTAAGACCTCCTATTTTACAGGGCAAGGTGGCGCATGCCTATAATTCTAGCAGCTCACAAGGCTGAGACAGGAAAACTGCAATTTCAAAGCCAGCCTCAGCAACTTAGCAAGGCCCTAAGCAATTTAGTGAGACCCTGTCTAAAAATAAAAAATAAAAAGGGCTAGGGATGTGGTTCAATGGTTAAGCACCCCTGGGTTCAATCCTTAGTACCAAAAAAACCCAAAACAACAACAAAACACCATCCCACCAAAAACCAAAACTCCTGTTTTTTTACTCTTTTCCTAGCTTCAACCTATTGGTTTGGTCATGGGGGAATCAGGCTCTGGATCAGTATCATGTTGATAGAAGTTAAGATTGGTACTTTGAAGGAAAGAGCAGAATGCTGTGTGACAATAATTAGGGATTGTGGGGCAGGAGGTAGATAGTTACAAGAATCATATTAAGCTGACACCAAACCGTCATAAGGCTAATAGACCTACCTGTTTAATTTACTGGTATATTCAGAGCCTATGCAACACCTGGTATACAGTAGAAACTCTAGAAATATTTGTTGGAGAATGACTGTCAAGGCAATTCTATATTACGAGAGACTATCTTTATATCTTCATATGATCCAGTTATACCAAAATATCCTATACTAAGCCTTTCTAGTAATTCCATGGTGGATGTATCTCTGTGATGATACTAACTCTTTTGGCACACACACTTCCATTATTATTCTTAAGGTCAATAATCAAACAAAAAAGGGCCAAAAAAGATTAGGTTTCTTAATAGAATGACTCGAAGTTAAAATACACACGCAAGCACATACACATATTTTAAGACCTCTCTCAATTCACATTACTTCTCATTGTATTAATTTACTTATTTTACCAGTTTTCCTCTAAGATAAAGAGCCCAAACCTTAAGTATTCTTAGGAAAAACAATTCTGACTTATTTATTTTTTAGTACTGGGGACTGAACCTAAGGTAGCTTTACCACCGAGCTACATCCCCAGACCTTTTTTTTGAGACGGCATCTTGCTCAATTGCTGAAACTGGCCTGACTTGTGATTCTCCTACCTCCTACCCCTGGAGTCTCTGGGATTACAGATGTGTGCCACTGTAGCTGGCAGGAAGGAAAATTTTTGACAAATTGTCAAGAGGGAAAGGAAACAAAGTCTGTTTCTTTTTGCTTCTTAACTAATTTGTTGATAGAGGTAAAAATTTTTTTTAAAAATTATGGCATTCATTTTAATGTTGAAATATTAATAATGTATATAGAATTTCTTTTTATTTGCTTTTTACTATTTGTATCTGAAGAGCTGAATCAGATATCTCAAATGCACTTGGAGAACAAGCTATATGGGCTCATTGTCAAGTGCCATCAGTATGAGCTTATATACCTTTTAAAAGGATCCAACTTAAAACCTGGGAATGGGAAGCATATCTATTAGATAAATAAAAGCTTTTATTTTTTCACTCTAACCTATTATGGCTTTTAATAGATAACTAGAAATAATACAGTCATTTTTCTTCAGTCTTGTACTAAATTATTGATAAGGAAGGACAACAATCAACGCCAAGCATCCTAGAAACTGAAATACTCTCTCTTGGATCCTCTTATAACTTCCAAGCTGTGATAAACAGTCAGTGACCATATACACACCTACAGCATGGACTCAGGTAGCTCAATGGAGAGTGAAACTGACTGTCTTGGACCTTTATTAGAATAGAACTGTGATCAATCTTAGGAAAATTATATTCCTTCATGTGCTAATTTCACTCTGATAAATACCAAGCACTCTCTACTAGCTACTTTACTTCCTTAGAGATATTTAATCTAAACCTCACATTTGTTTTTTACCTTTATTTAAACATGAAAGAACTGAGGCTCAGAGAAGTTTGATAATTTTCCCAAAGTCAAATATGTAAATCACAGGCAGTTTAACATACCTAAATTTCTTTAAAAAGAATAAAACAACTGAGAAAATGTGTGCAGTGGGTTCAGATAACTGTGATGCTACTTCTGTGATTTCTCTTTTGAAGCATAAAGTAAAACCTTGCTTTTTAATTATTGCTAAAGAATGCAGAGAGAATTTTGACCAACTGTATATAAGAACTAAAATTTACTTATAGAAAATTAAACATTCTGTTTCAAAGGAATAAGAAAGCAAAATATGACAGAAGAGAAGGAATAGAGGTGAAAGCATTTTAACAAATTTATATTCATTGGATACCACCTTCTGTATCTATGCAAAACTAAACATGAAAAGGAATTTTAAAGGGAGAAATTTCCAAATCAAAGATGATTAAATCTTCTAAAAGATGAACATTTAAAAAAGCCATTTGGTTTCTGTTACAGAAAAGGGAAGAAAGGGATCTGATTGGCACTAGCAAATCTCCACCACCAGGCCACACTATTTTCGGCCTCCCCTCATCTCACTGCTGTAGCCGTTTGACATTAGCTGACCCTACAGAGGTAAAAACTATTGGCTTCTGACACTAAAATTATTTGAGTGTCATCTCCTAGAGGTGTTTAGTTTTGACATATCCCTTAGAGCTCTGACTAGTGGTGGACATTTGGAGGCAGTAAATAAATTCATACTTAATGAATGAATAAGTATAGGGGTCTAATATCTTTATAGACTTAACAGGATGGATTGTCCAAGGAACCAAATAAAAATAACAATTACAGTGATTATTAGTATTATTACAATCTCATAACAAATAATAGACACTTACTGAAATATTTCCTGCTGAGTTGACCTGCATTTCATCCACGTTGTGATTGCCATTTGTAATGTCACAGATGCAATAGTTACTAACAGAAGGAGGTCTGAATGTGTGGCCACCATCACAATGAATTTCTGGACTGATTCCACAGCCAAATGTGAATGAAGCAAGAGAATGATAGTGTGTAAGAAGAACAACTGCATGGACCAGTTCCGCAAGAGACCAACTGTGCTCTTCAGCTTTTAAAAGCCCCTTGGGGGAAAAAGAGAGAGGACATATTTTTATACCTGGGTGTGGTATTGATGAAGATATATAGTTCACCTTAGTATTTAATCTATTGAAAACAGGATTACAAGAAATCTAGTAAACATGTAAAACCCATGATTTGATAATTTTTATGAAAATGTATCCATGAATACAGCTTAATGTGTCTGTTAGTAACATGTTCATCATTATTTTGATTTTTTGAAATACTGACTTTAAAAGGTAATCAAATGCATTTTGCTTAAAAGTAACTGCTATATTTCTTTTTTCAATTTTTAAGTTGTAGATGGACACAATATATTTATTTTTAAATAAATAAACCTCACACATGCTAGACAAGTGCTCTACCACTGAGCTACAACCCCAGCTCAAGTTGCTGTACTTTAAGTGTAGGATTATGAATGAATTACTGTGTTTTTACTTCAAATGTAATAAATCTGAGCTTAGAATAGAAGCTACTGTATGAATATCTTTTTGTTTATTATCAGGCCTTCTCAAAGAATTTTTAGGATAGCAGCTTGAACAACTAGACTCTCAATATTCCTAAATCATCAAGTTATATTTATTTATTTACTTACTTATTATATATAGTACATAGGATTGAACCCAGGGGTGATTTACCATTGATCTACATCTCCACCTTTTAATTTTATTATTTAAAAAATTTTTGGTTTTAGTTATGGATGATAGTAGAGTATAATTTGACTTATTTATACAAATATGGAATACATCTTATTCTAATTAGGATCTCAGTCTTGTGGTTGTACTTGATGTGGAGATTACTGTGGTGTATTCATATATGTACATAGGAAAGTTATGTCAGAAAGTTATGCCACTGTATTTCCTTTTCCTTTCCTCCTTCCCTTTCCTTCATTCCCCTTTGTTTAATCTATTAAACTTCTATTTTTCCCCTCCCCACCTTGTTGTGTGTTAGCATTCATATATGAGAGAGAACATTCAACCTTTGGTTTTTTGGGATTGGCTTATTTAGCTTAGCATAATAGTCTCCAGATCCACTCATTTTCTGGCAAATGTCATTAAGCCATTCTTTTTTATGGGCAAGTAATATTCCATTGTGTAAACACTAAATTTTCTTTTCCATTCATCTGCTGTAGGGCACCTATGTTGGTTCCATAGTTTAGCTGTTGAGAACTGAGCTGCTTTAAATATTGATGTGGTTGTGTCACTGTAGTATGCTGTTTTAAGTCTCACTGGGTCAAATGGTGGTTCTATTCTAAGTTTTCTAAGGAATCTCCATACTGCTTTCCAAAGTAGTTGCACCAATTTGCTGTCCCATCAGCAATGTATGAATGAACCCTTTCCCACATCCTTGCCAACATTTATTATTACTTGTATTCCTGATTGTTGCCATTCTGACTGGGGTAACATGAAATCTCAATTAGTTTTCATTTGTATTTCTCCAATTGCTAGAGATGTTGAACATTTTTTTCATATATTTTGTTGACCATTCATATTTCTTCTTCTGTGATGTGTCTATTCAGTTCCTTTGCCAATTTATTAATTGGGTTATTTGGTTTTTTGGTGTTAAGTTTTTTGCTTTCTTTATATCCTTTTTATTTTTTTGAGATAGGGTCTCCCTAAATTGCCCAGGCTGGCTCTGAATTTGTGATATTCCTACCTTAGACTCCCGAGTAGCTGGAATTACAGGCATGCACCATTATGCCCAGTTCGTGTTTGAAATATTTTGATGTCATATTCTATAACTGTTATAGATGTCTTTCAATTTTCAGTAACTCCTACTCTTATCAAAAGATTAAAATTTTTAATTATGTCAAGGGGAAGGGGAAAAGGATGAATAGCAGCAGCACAGGACAATGCTATTTATTATTCTGTATAATATAGTAATGGTATCATGACATTATCCATTTGTGAAAATCCACAGAAGTGTTCAGCATCAAGAGTGAACACTAGACTAGTGTTAACTATGGATTTTAGCTAATAACAATATATCAGATGGTTCATCAGTCACAAAAAATGTACCACACACTGGGCATGGTGACTCATGCCTATAATCCTAGTGGCTCAAGAGGCTGAGGCAGGAGGGTTGCAAGTTCAAAGCTAGCCTCAGCAACGTAGCAAGACGCTAAGCAACTTTATGAGACCCTGTCTGAAACTAAAATATTAGGGGAAAAAAATAAAAGCTAGGGATGTGTTATGTATCCCTGGGTTCAATCCCCAGCACCAAACAAATAAAAAAAAAATGCATCACATAAATCCTAGATGTTAATAATAGGAGAAAAATGTGTGTCTGTGGGAGGGGGTTAAGGAGGTAGAAAATGAGAACTCCTGTGCAATTTTACTGAAAACTAAAACTGCTCTGAAAAATAAAATCTTTAAAAAAATATATAAATGATGCTCAAGATTTATTACTTCACTACATACCTCAATGTGTTCTTTGGTAATAAGCCAAGGTCTGTGGGCTAATACTTTGTTGAGTTCTCCTAAATTCTGTAGTTTTTGAGGAGCATTTTCTAAACCATTGAGCCACTTGGGGTCTCCACCAACATGAAGAAAATCATTTACATGCAGGTTCACTAAGTAGGAGCACTGATGTCTTGCTGCAGCCTTAAGGAAAAATGAAAAGGTACTCTAATTACAGATGTTAAAACCTTTTTTTAAAAACATTTTTAATTTTTTGGAAGTAGTTGGAAACAATACCTTTATTTTTTAATTTTTATGTGGTGCTGAGGATCGAACCCAGGGCTTCGCATGTGCTTAATGAGCGCTCTACTGCTGAGCCACCATCCCAGCCTCAAATGTTAAAACCTTGAACTAGTACCAATCTATTTTCTTTAGAACATGCAAAATAGCTATTTTTTTTTTTTTTAGTATTGGGGATTGAACTCAGGAACGCTCAGCCACTGAGCCACATCCCTAGCCCTATTTTGTATTTTATTTAGAGACAGGGTCTCATTGAGTTGCTTAGCACCTCAAAGTTGCTGAGGCTGGTTTTGAACTCTCAATCCTCCTGCCTCAGCATCCGGAGCCACTGAGATTATAGGCGTGCACCACCAAGCCCGGATTAAGTTTTTGATTAGTATGGTTTCACAACTTTCCATGAACTAGAAATGTTTTCACATAAACATTTAAAAATTTCAAATACACCACAGAAAATACCTCAAGAATAGTCTAAGAACAAAATATCTGATAAAAATATCTGAACTGTAAAAATTGTACCTATATGTCAACTTTCAGAACCACAAAATAATAAGAAACTTCAATTAAGTTGTCAACCATAAAATGACACAATAGTATTTACAAACTAAACAGGATTATCATCACTTATGCCAATCATAACTGTATATAATAATAAAATAGATCTTGTGTTCTATTTTTTTCTTTAAGTGAGAATAGCTTTCAGTATCATATAAATAAATGGCATAATTTTTGTTATACTTGAGACCATACTTATTTAAAAACAAAAACAACCAGAAACTACCTAATAGGAATCCTATCATAAGTCAAAATATAAGTACTTATCCCCGTGTTTAAAGCATTAACTATCTCTTAAAGAGATTAATAAAAGCAGGCAGAAAAGTTTTTTCACCTAATTTTTACATACCATTATTCCAATGTAGTGCCGATAATGTAGGGGTAATGGCCCATCCATTTGCAGTAGATAGTGTTGAGTTTTTAAGAAACTTTCTAAATATTGTGGGTGGAAAACCATCACTAATGTAATGTTATCCAAACGACCCAAAGCAGCAAAAGAATCTGCAAATAAAGCATGCATTTGTGTGTCTTCACTCCCCACTTGGAGAATCTGTATAAATAAATGAGAGGAATACCATGGTTACATAAATCGTAAATTTCATATTAAAATTTGACTTAAGAGGGGGATTAATAATTTAAACTCAAATGGTAGCAAAAAACAGAAGAATAAACTGTCACATTATACAGGAGGGGATAAACAACAAAGGCTGAACATTAAAGGCCATCTAGATTGGCTGCTTTATCAAAGTTGCAGAACTTGCAAATACACCACCTACTCTAACTCAATTTAAGGAGAACCACAATTAACCAATAGCAAACAATTCTTTTGAAAATAAAGCACAGTTGCTTTTACATACATAGAATTAAAGACCCAATCTAGTGGTCATACCAGCCTATGGAGATGGTCAGGATCAAGTAACTCAGTTTATAGGCAAACCTAAGCAAGATCTACATATAAGCAGGTGGAGTATTATTAGTTTTAAAAACAAAAACAAAACAAACAAAACCTAACCAGTCTATATATACTTTGGCTTTGCTTGATTAAATATGGGTATTAAAAAAGCATCATGATATATTAGAAATCAGTATGACTACATCAGCTTCTTATTTAAAAAATATTTTTAGATGTAGATGGACACAATACTTTTATTTTTTTAATGTGATGCTGGGGATCAAACTCAGTGCCTCCTGAGTGCTAGGCAAGTGCTCCACCACTAAGTCACAACTCCAGCCCTACATCAGCTTTTTCTAATCCCATAGATTCACTGCCAAAGCATGATTAACTGTTATCAGTGCTGTTTAAAACATGTTGTTGACCAACAGTTGTTCAGATGCCAAGAAGAGGGTCATAAAAACATTCCTTAAAAGCACACAATTCACTACTTACTTTCACAAACAACATACCTCCTTTTCTGGGATGAATCTGCTTGGTCCGTGTCCTAGTGGTCGAGGAATTTTAATTCCAAGTTCCTAGAAAAGAAAATTACACCATCTCAGGCTTCCAGCAGTAAACAACATGAACTAAGGACACAGGAATGGGAGGGAAAACAACCAGCTGAACAGAGACAGGCTTGTCGTGGTGGTTTGTTTTCCTGTCTATATATACACACCAACTCTTCTGTTCGCATCACATAGCTAGCAACAACCTATAATATGACTCTTGACTAAAAACAATAAAACCTGTTTCGCTAAAACCAGAGTTTTGCATAAAGTACTTGGCAGAAAGTCTAGAACAGAAAGTTCAGCACATAGCAGCCAACCCTGTGGGCTGTCAGTGATACAGAATAAGACCAATGTGTTTGTACATCCAAAACTCAACCAAAATGTCAATCCCTACACATCTTGTCAGGAAACATAAAAGTAATACCTTCCGACAGATGTCTTAAACAGGAAGATGTGTAATCATTAATCTATAATAACATCTCACAATAAGGATAGAAATATTATAAGAAATAAAAACCAGTTGAATTCGCAAAATAGAAAGTACTATCAGCCATGTTTTCTTTGTGGTTGAATAAAACAATTTCAGAGAACTTTATTTTGTTTCTCAGTTTGCTTTAAAATTGATTTTTACTTATAGGATGTTATCAATTTCACTTGTATTGTAGAACAGCTCAACTAATCACGAATAAATGGTTTCCTACCTTTTTACATAGTCAATCTAAATTCTATACTTTCTATTGACAGTGTAGAGTGGCTACAAAAACTGACAATCTTACTATTAGGACTTCCTTTATTTTTCCAATATGGTGTACTTACAGAAACAAAATGATAATAAAAATTTCTTTTTTTTTTTTTTTTGGTGGGGGAAAAGACTATATCTAGTCAATCTAGTGTCATTAAAAATGTTTTAGAATTTATACAACTAAAGATTAACCCTTGCTTATAAAATCAACAATATTATTTCTATATTCTCCTTACTACTTCCAAAGATTCATGATATAAACCAAATACTTTCTTCTTCTTCTTATTTTTTTTTTTTTTTCAATACTGGGGATTGAACCCAGGGCTTTGTGCATGCTAGGCAAGTACTCTACAGAGTTACTCCCCAGCTCTGTATTTTGTTTTCTTTTGGGACAGGTCTCTTTAAATTGCCTAGACTGACATTAAACTTTGGATCTTCCTGAAGCCTCCCAATGAGCTGGAATTATAGGTGTAAGCCTCCAGATCCATCCAGATACTTTCATCTTAAAGAAAAATGGGAGTAGGCAGAGAGGACATATGCTAGCAATTCAAGAAATATGGTCTAGGTGAATGAAAATCTTTGAGCAGAATGGATTAAAAAAATTAGGTAAGGACAAAATTTAAGAGAATATTATGAGAAATCAAGATTTAGATTCAAAGTAGGCTATCTTGCCAATGGAATCCAATAAAACACTATATAAGTCAAATCTTACACTGGAAGTCAGGGGTTTCTTACCCTGGTTATTTAACATTTAAACTAAAGACAGTATATAATACCATTCATTAGAGGAGACATTTAATTCATTAGTCTGGCCAGGTATATGTCTCAGTTTTAATATTCTACAATAATTGCCAGAAACCCACACATCCTATTATTCAATACATTATCCTGGCATAAAGACAGACATTTATATAAAATGATGACTCTACTAGCCTTTCTAAGCTAAATCTCTGATCCTACTATATACATTTTAAACCAAATTTACTGGGTAAAATTATAAGGCTAAAATCAACATTTAACCCTTCTCATTAATCTTTAAAAATTATCTTATTTGAATAAAAAGTATTTTAGGAAAATACCTGCTTCAAGGGTTTATTACTCATATTATAACTAAGAGACATTATACTTGGAATATTAGCATATGAAAACGTGTCATTTCAAAAAGGGAAGAAATATATTATTTTCCAAATAATATTGGGACAAGTGGTTAGCCTCTCAGAAAAAAGTGAAGTTGACATCCTAAATCATATTTTATTTCACAATAAATCAGAGTTAAATGTGAAAACACAAAAACAAACAAAACATTACAGTACTAGAAGAAAACAGTGGAGAGGGTCTAAGAATGCCACAAAACCCATAAGTCATAAAATGTAAGTGTGATGACATATGAACAATGAAATTGACCAAATTATGTAATGTGTATGTTCGAATATAGTAAAATGAATCCTACTTTGTAAAATTATAATGTATCAATAAAATATTCATTGACATAAAGCCAGGGGTTTCTTACCTGGGTTATTTAACATTTAAACTAAAGATAGTATATAATACCATTTAATGTCATTTTGCTTCACATGCAAAGTATATATATATAAACAAAGTCAAACATGAACAGAAAGCTGGGAAAGATATTTGCAAGTCACACAGAAAAGAACTAAAACAATTTTTGGACTGCAGATTGAACTCAGGGATTCTCTACCACTGAGATCCCTAGTCTTTTTTTTTTTAAATTTTGCTGAGGCTGCCTTCAAATTTGTGATCCTCCTGCCTTATTATATTATATAATATCCCTGTTATAAATAACTGAGATTACAGGTGGGTGTCACCATACCTGGCTAATTTTTTAAAAATATGTAATTAATTAATAAAAACCTTACAGGAAACAAGTAAAGGACATCGACAGTTCAAATAAAAGAAAAGAAAAATGGCTGAAAAACTGCTCAGCAAGCGCACACACACGCGCGCACACACACAAACCTGTAAATAGGAAATACCATTTTTCTTCAAAAAGATTACTTACGATTAAAAAGTCTTTAACAGGTTGTGTTTTGAGAGGGAATAGAGAAACAATCATTTGGTTCTTATATATTACTGATAGGAATGTTCTGAAGTATCACACAGTACAAGGAGTATATAAATTCCTGCAACTTCTAGGGAAGGCAATTTGCAATATTGATCAAAATAACAAAGTCACATATACTTTAAATGAACAACTCCATCGTAAGTGTTAACCTACAGATATACTCACATTTATGAAATGTTACATGTAAAAGGATAATCACTGAAACATTGTTTCCAATAGTATAAGACCAAAAACAACCTAAGAGTTCATCAATACAGAACTGTTTCAGTCAAATTCAGTATAACTAATAGGATTAGCCAGCAGTACTTAACAAAAAAATGAAGCAGTTCCATTGGGTTAACTTTAAAAGATCTTAAGATATATATATATCTTAAGATATACATATATATATTTAAGATTATATATATATATATATATATATATATATATATGGCAGTAAACAAAGGGCATAATGTGTATATCTTTTTATTTGTAAAGAGAAAAAAAAGCCTCAGAAATTCCATTTCTGGAACTTTATCCTACAAATTACATTAACAGCATATGGTAATTTTTTTTAAATGATAGCAAATTGATATCACATAGGCATCAAAACAAAGAGGTTAAATTATATTATTCTGGTCTTGTATCAATATTAACATATTCTTTACGTACGAAACTATTATAAAACAATTATTTTACAATTCCAAGAAGATGGCTATGAGTATTTCAGAAATGAGTTATTTTCTTACAGGTATGACAAGTATCTTTTCCAGTGGTCATAAGTCATTTTTGAGCCTTTTTAAATCAGTTCATCCCTTCAGCCAAATTTAGTGGCCCAACTGATACCACTGCCTCCCTTTTTCCTTTAGTCTTCAATGGCCAAGCCTCCCCTTGTCTGATTCCTTTAGAAATGACATTATTTCTGTATGTTTTAAAGTAGGATGTTAAGTCATTATCCAAAGTACATGTATGAAGACACAAATTGGTGTGAATATACTTTATATACAACCAGAGATATGAAAAATTGTGCTCTATATGTGTAATATAAATTGTAATGCATTCCACTGTCATGTATTTAAAAAATCAATAAGAAAAATCCAAAGAATCATAAAAAAATAAAATAGGATGTTAAGATAAACAAGCACTCTTTGGGGTGGATTATATACAATTATACAATAATTCTTGGTGTTGTGATTGTACTCATTCCTTGATGAGACACTAGCCTTGCAAGGAGCATGTAATTTATGATTAAGGCCTGGAAGAGGTATTTAGTATTCTCCAATCTTCATTTTTAAAAAAATCAATGTCTTAGACTTTTAAAAAATCAGTCTAAAGACAGGTACTACTATAATCTCCATTTTGTTCAGCTAAATGATAACAAGTCAAATTCAGCCCAGAGCCAGTATTAATGAATAGTGGAGTTGAGGGCTGAATATAGGAAGTCTGGTTCTAGAGCTGGCATCTTTAATTATTACTCTTTCAAGCCTCTCTCAGAGTTTTTGACATTTTGGAGATCCTTTTAGATATCACTCTTATTGTATGATACATTCTTGGTTTCTAAAAGTTTTTATTTTCCACTTTTGAAACATTTGTCCTATGGCAAAATAGTCATACTCTATTTTCTAGCAGGTATTTTATCAAAAAAAGCACTGCAGGTGTTCAATAAGGGGTGATTATGCCGAACTATATGCATTTTGTAACTTCCTATTTAGGTTACTTCAATATTTCTCCACCTTTTATTGTTGTTTTGTTTCTTTCCATTTTTAAATTGGTACACTACACTTGCAAATGATTGTTAGGATTATTTGTCCATCTGTAGCTGTGAGAAATGGACTCTAAGCAAATTTTGGCCAATCCAGATTCTAGAAGGCAGAACTGCAAACAGCAAATAGCCTTGCTGAAAAGCAGATGTAGATGCTAATTACAGCACAAAATTTACAGATTTGTCTGTGAAGGTGTGGTTGGAAAAACTAATATAAGAACTTAGGTCCCCTCCCCTCAACAATGCTATAATCATCTTTGAAAGAGGTAGCAACAACTTCTACCATCATACTATTGCTTCAAACCAATTTCCTCATCAATGTGTAATACTAACACATTAATTTTCAGAGTATGAAAATTCTTAGTGCCTTCTTGATAGTATCAGAGAAAGACAATGTTTGTATTATGTTGCTATATGAATCAGTGTTTGTGGACTGAAAATACAGTTCTAATAAGGTGTTT